GACAGCCCTGGCAAAGGCCAACACCAACTGGGAATGTGTTTGACTTCTTGCCGAGTACATGGACACAACTCTTACGGTTATAACTGGACCAAATGGCTTGAACCAACAGCACCAAAGGATCTCTCCAGTAACCTTGCGAGAGTAAAGAGCTGGTCCAGCGTTCCATGACCTGGATGGAATCCAGGGCACCCTGCTGGAGCCAGACCTGGGAGGGGAGCTCCCTGCAAGCATCTGGTGGCTGGGCCTTGGTCCATGGGGCCTGGTCAGGCACAGCCCGAAGAAATGGCATGTGTCGCCACCTTGTGGACCCACTACCTGCAGGGAAAGGAATCAAGGTCGGGTTCAGTGCAAGTTGGGCTGCAGGCTAGGTCAGGTACCTGGAATACTGATCCCTGGCTGCATGTATACAAGCACACACAAACCGGCACCTCTACCTCCGTCCACTACATCATCATAATTCCCATTATTGTCATCAACATTGCCCATGAGTGTGCGCTGTAACAACATAATATTGGACAGTCATTCCTTTCTTGTAATGATTTTGAGATTGCAATCCATGCGTTTATCACTTCTAGACTTGATTATTGCAAGGTGCAAAGTGTGCAAGGTGTTAACCAGTCCTCCCTCACTCATCTCCAAATGGTGCAAAATGCTGCTGCTCATCTTTTGAAAGTACTAGGAAATTCGAGCATATAACTCTGGTACTGGCTTCTCTCCACTGGCTTCCAGTCCATTTTAGAATCGATTTTAAGCTACTGATTTTCGTTTTTAAGGCTCTTAATGGTTTGGCACCATCGTACCCCACCGAATTAGTGCATTGGCACAAACCTACAAGGTCCCTCAGATCTTCAAGCCAGTTTGTTTTAGAGGTTCCTAGGGCCAGATATAAATGCTGGGGTGACCGTGCTTTTACTGTTGCAGCCCCTAAATTGTGGAATAGTCTACCTTTTAATGTTAGATCAGCTACTTACCTCATTACTTTTAAATCATTGCTTAAAACATACTTATTTGCCTTGGCTTTTAATACACAGGTAGGGCCTGATGCATTCCTTTTAATTTATTGAATGTGTGTCATCTGTGTGTCTGTGTTATTGTGCTGTTTTATTTTTTGCACTGATCCTATTTTCTATTTTAGTCATTTATTGTGGTTTTATTCTGCCTATGTAAAGTACTTTGGTGAATTGGCTGTTGTTTTTAAAGTGCTATATAAATAAAGTTGATTTGATTTGACAGTTTATTCTTATTAAAACACTATTCACAAAAACTTGACTTTGATATTTTACCTGTTGTTTTAGTTATAATTTACAGGAGGCTGTTGTAATCCTCTTGGGATTAGAGCCCTTTTTAGGCATACCTGATCCAATTCAATTTATTTTCATGTACTTTTAATCAGATGGGCTCAATAATGCCTTGAGTCAGGTTCTGTAGTGCTAAATCAATATACAAATTGTATCTCTTGGCTTTACACACAGCAGTTTTACCTGGAAAACTGGTCTTTCCTGCCAATTTCATTATCCTGTGCAAAATGTTTTATTAAATGCAGAGTTTGAGAGGTGTTACTGTGGTCCTCATGTAATACTAGTCCTGTATAAACAGAGTCTGGTAAGCATGACTAACAGATTTGTCCTTCTACTTTACCTCCCAATGTGTTATCTATATTATCTGTTTAAATTAGGTTTTGAGTCAGCATATGTCCTCATTGTGGTTTGTTATATAACTCTAGAGACCGGCTGACAGTTGGATTGTGGCCAGAGGGTCTCAATTTAAAGCCAGTCTACACCTTGAACTCAACTTATGTTCTATGATAGAGGGAGGATGTTGTTTTAAAGGGGGAGGTAGAAAAAGAGCCTGACAAGAAAAAAGTGATTGAAAAAGTATGTGACACAGAATAGGCATATGAAGAAGAGGTACATTTCAGAATCTCTCCATCAACTAAATATTTGAGTACATTGACCTATAGACATCATTCCTGTGATGTTGGAGATCATTTTATGCAGTAAAGTTCAGTACAGCATGTAAACATTCTTTGCTAGATGTTTGTAGAAATGTGTCTTAATGACAACATCGCAAAAAGCTGCTGTCCACAATATAAATTAGTGAAAAACATCCTTTTAAAAAAGCTAAAAATACCCAAAGTGTTTTTAGACAACTGAAAATCTGCTTCCATGCAAAAACACTCCCATGTATTTCACAAACACATACATAGATTGTGTATACACATTTGATCACTAGCATAGAATGTCATCATCTCAGTCAAGCGTTCAAATTTGATTTAGGGACTTTTAGAAAATCTGTCAAAAAAGTGTTAGTGGAACACAGAAGATTGAATCAGGACTTATTTTATTAATCTTCATAAGTCCCCCACAGAAAGTCATTAGACCAAAGTCATAGGTCCATTTATGTAAACAGCATCCTCTCATTCCTTGTTTGTCAACTGTTAATAGCCAAACAGCAGTGGAAATGAGTTGCACCAAAGCACAGTGTGCTTTCATCATGCATATTGCATATACAGGGTCTGCCTGAAGTATGTGTAAAGCTATGTGTTCAGGTGCGGATCTAGGATATTTTGGATTGGGTGGCCAGAATGAGTCACAGACTGAGAGAGGGGGGCGCACATTTGAAATATGTAAACAGTAAACCAAACCTCTAGTTCTATGAAATAATAAACCATACACTATTAAGAATCAAATTGTTTATTTTGTGTAAAGATGAGACACACATAGTGCTTTCTCTAGCTAACTTTGGCTACGCTCCTTATTTACTCCTGGCTGGGGACATCACTGCTGCACAGTGGTTCTTCTCCACTGAAACAAATCATGCCAGGTACTCCAAAACAATACAGTCAGAGAAATGAATGCAAATATTGTGCTGCATGCATGATATAAAATAAATCTAACTGTAGGTACTACAAATTGATCAATATTTCTCCATACATGGCCTAGCTAACTTGTGATGTTGTGAAGTCTTCACTTTGATTTTCACTGGTTTTGAATACAGCCTTCCATCGGCTGATGATTTTGGTTTCCATTTACCGTAGTTATGCCATTTTATTCTACACAAATTATACAGTGTGGATTGGTAAAGGTTTTCATCTTGAATAATTTGCTCATCAAGATATGATTTTATGATTTAAGCATTCCATTAATTTTTTTGAGCAGTGTATTTTTTACGAGACTATTTAGTGACAACACATGCACACCACCAAAGGACTTTGCTAAAAATGAGCAAAACAATTAGTTAATTGTTAGAATAGTCGCTGATTAATTTTCTGTTGTTCAACTAATCTATTAATCAGCTAATCATTTCAGCTTCATTCATAACTCAGGGTCCAGTTGCAGTCTGGACTAGTAATTCTTATAATTAATTACTTTTTCTTTAGAGAACATAAGTACTGTATACACATAAGAAGCAGTAAAGTCTGTTCAGTTGCACCATTTTGTACTGGCAGTCAACAGTCAAGTCAAGGAACAATCTGTGGCAGAGGTGGCAGAGATGGCAGCTTTGTCCTCAACAGACCAGAATGTCATGCAATCAAAAGTCATCAGAGTCCCTTTTTCTCAGCTCTGTTCTTGCTATCACTATCACTTCTGCTGCCTTTACCTTGATGTGCAGCACACCATTGAACAGGTAATATCATCACTGGGCCTTTTTTGTGTGAAGTTTGAATGTGAGTTCATGTGGGTTGGGTGTTCCATTTTCTTTCCACACCCCTAAAACAGTTCAGTAATTAGGCTCAGTAATATTAGTCTCCCTGATGCCCCCAAGCCCCCATTAGTCTTGCCACCAGCCAGTCAGAAACCTAGAAAATTCTATTCCTTCAAGGCCACTTGTACTGTCTCTCTGAAACTTTTAAGATAATGCAACCTTCCTCCTGTTCTGTTTGGTTCCACTATGTTTTACAAAATCTGTGCTGGGACAGTCTCAATCCAAAAATAACTGTACTAGTAGTATGCATATTGAGGCAGGAAGAAGATGAGGAGAGAGAAAAGCAGACAAAGTAACGGCATGTCATATTTCTAGATACATATTTCCCTTACATCCTCTGAGAAATGTTTTCTAGGATTATCATTTTCCATATCTGAGCCACTCAACCACTTATCATCTTTACTCTGAAAGATTTCAGTGCTCTTATCCAGCCTGTCTAATATAATTTTTAATGTCTGCTGTAAAATTTGAGGAGCATTGTTCCCTAAGTCACAGTTAAAAACTTAATACTGTGTGGGTATACTATGACTTGTATTATGAGCACACATGGCTCAGTTGAATCATACAAAAGGTATTAGCTCCTTAAGGATACACGAATCAAATTGTACATTTGACTACAACTGGACTGTTTTTGGAAATTAAACATTTGGCATTTCTCAAGGATGTAGTATTTCCATGGTGATAATGCCTGTTGCTTAGCAATATCCACCGGCTTTACTCCTTTTTTTTCTATAAGTAAAATCCTCAAGATTCGTCGCCTTGGCAAATGGCCTACACTGGCTCTTTGTTGCTGTTACACCATCCTTTGTTTAATCAGGCATTTTCCATTGAGATAGGAATTGCTATGACAAAGTGGGAAAGATAAGCATGAGTAATGATCATCTTAAATCACGGCCAACATTTTGAGCCACCTCATACTAATACATACACACACAAGCATTTCTTGAATGAAACAGATGTTGTGAAGCACACACAGCCACGCACACTTTAGCTCTTCTGCCCTGCTGTGGAGCTTCCCCTGACTGCAGAGTCTTTCAGATGCTACTCCAACCTTAACCCTTTGTGTTGTAAGATGAACTTTAAACCTTAGCCTAACCCAAAAATAATCCAACCCATCAGTCCTAACACAAAACTAATCCTAAAACTACATTTAATCCTAAACCCAAGACCAACCTAGTCCAGCACCATGTACAAACCTTTAAAGAACATTTGAAGCACAGGAACAAATGCATCAACACAGACATGATCCAAACATGAGCTCACCGTTTTCTGCCTTTGTCCTCCTCCTCCTCCAGTGAGATCATCCTCTCCAACATTGACGTGGGCATCGCTGGCATCTGGGAGTGCCTGGTGACCAGTTCCCGTGGCAACACTTCTCAGCAAATGGAGATAGTTGTTGTGGAGACGTTGGCATTGTACTGCCCCGCTGACAGAGTCACCAACAACAAGGGGGACTTCAGGTGAATCACCTCTCAGTGGTCATGTACTGCTGTGTAAAAACTGGTTCTGTGGAGGTTTACATGCTAGAAATGATTGCAACCAGCCAAAAAATAGACAGACACATAACCTCCCAAAAACCACAGCGTGGGTGTACTTTTTTTAAGGTTCAAGGATTTTATTGTCAATTCATCATATGTGCAGCACATACAGAAAATTGAAATACCGTTTCTCTCTCTCACCTGTTGGGTACCATAACATTTAGGAACTAAAACAGAATAAAGTAGAATAAAAATACAAAGGGATAGAATAGAATAAGAACTGGATTAACGTAATTAGGATAAATCTAAACGGTAAAGCCAATAAGCTGTGACTCAAAACCATGTACAGTCAGTGACAGTAGTGCAAACAATAATAGATTGTCAGATGGTTCAGCATCACCAGGACGTTGAACCATCTCACAATAACAGATTTAACAGATTAAACAAAAAGATGTAATGTGTTACTTCATGAGCTTTTGAGATCTTAGGCAGCTTTTGAACTGTAGATGCTGTGACCTTCAGACAGACCTAGCTTCCCTCTTTCCAGTCTTCATACTTAACTAAGTTAACTGACTCCTGGTAACAGCTTTATATCTGTACAGATATGAGAGTGACATCAAGTGTATTTCCCACTGAAGCAATTCCTTTAACATTGTTTCTCTTGCATTGGGTAAAAAATAACTAAAATCATATAAAGAAACCATATTCTTTCATCTTAAGTGTCTTCATCTTAAATTTCCAAGGTTATTTCGGTTGCGGTTTTCATCTTAAGTGTACAGTATATTTCATTTACCAACTAGTTCTGTCTAATTAATGACAATGAGCTGATAACAGGCAGTTTCTGGCAACATAAGGCAGTAGTTTAAACTCACCATAATTTAATTCTCGATAAACAATCCCAGTTATTGAGTGTACTGTATAAAAATTAATACTTTAATCAGAGAGCACTGGCTTTCTCTTCCATTATCTCTTAATAAACAGTACATTTAAGGTATTTAAGTCTGATTCTTGGTGGTGTTTGTGCTGGTTTTTGTTCCGTCTGATAAAAATCTGCCACACCTGGTCTGCATTCCACCAGCCTCATTAACTATCAAAGACCATATCTGAGTGTTTACAGCAGAGCTTGGACAGTTGATACATTTTAATAGTAATTAGTAATTAATTGGATATGTGATATGATAACTCCCACAAACATTATAGCTCAATGAAATCCAGCTTTATAGCAAGATTACAAAAAGTTGAGAACTTACTCCCACTGAGGTTTCATATAAAAAGACGAACAAACACATATCACTGTGGTCTCAATAACTTGTCTTTTTTTCCTTTCCTCCATGCCTTGTGACCACCTTGAAACCTTTTAGCCATAGAGACACATTCCTCCACCTCTCCTTACCTGTGGTGTGCTGTTGTCATGTATGCGCCTTCATAGCTGCAGTACTTTACAGCCCACTGCCAAAGCAGCAAGCACAGAGGTGTGGTTTCTGCCAGAGCACTGGAGTAATGGGCTGGAAAACGAGCCCCTTCTTTGTTGAGGGCCAAATTAACACCATTTATTACTAAGTAGCGGCTGCTGCTGCAGTCACGTACATGGGGAGATGGCAGGCCTCTACTCTTAAAACAGCCTCCTGAGCGCCATGCTCCTTCATTTTTATTTAGGCTAAATGTAGTCAAAAGTGTTGCCACATTAAGCATTACTTCAGCTACTTTTCTGTGGTACGATTTTAACATTGCCGGAGAAAAGCAAAACACATCTCTGATTGTAGATAAATTGATCTGTATGTAACTTTAATCCACAACATGGCAAAGAAGCAAAACCTGAAGTTCCTCCATTTTTTAGGGTAGCAGAGGCTAATATAGTGGACTATGAATGTTTGGCTGACTTTTTACACTTAATGAGCTGTATTTTACTGAAACACTAATGAGCATTACCCAGAAAAATATTTTTTTTTCATTTACCCATAAAATGCTGAACTTTGCATAGCCTTACAAACAACACATAATTATTGTTTTAAGCTGAATTTCCCTCTTTGGAGGAATGGGAGTGTGTTTCTGCTTTGAAAGTGCATCCTTTGCTAACATTTTTCATCTTCCATCTTGCTGCGCCTTAAAGAGATATACAGTTTCTATAGTACTGTACTTTCATAAAGTTGTGGGACATGCCAGACAGATTAAAAAAGAACTGGATCACTTTAAAACACTAAATGAGGTTTCCTGAATTTTGAGCATGGATCAAGTTCCACACAAGCCACATCCAAAGTAACCTTGATGACATTCCTCAGTTTATAAAAAGCTCCTCCACAGTCACAGGAGACAGTAAACTAAGAAAAATTGGTGTAATGCCCCTTTCAATGCTTTATCACAAAAAAGTTTGGTCTCATTGTGCACAAAATGAAAATACAACAAAGTTGATTAATGAAGTTCACAAATAAAGTTAAGTCATAAGCCATCAATAACACAACACATTGTTTCACAATCAAGAATGAGAATCTAGCAGTGTTCTGCAAAAATAATTAGAGCTACTCTAGCTGTAAATCAAATATGTAAATTAGTAATTTCCTATGTACAGGGAGTATGAAGTTGCCATCTGTTGTAGATCCCTAAAAGCACTATGTTCCTAATAATTCAGAGATACCTTGTGTGACAGGTGGCCAAAGACTCTAGCTGGCATCCTGGCCTTTTTGCCCTGTGCTCCTGCCACCTTTGGTTCTGCCCCCCACCCCTCTGGCAGAGCACCTCAGCCCTCCAATCAGAGGGAGAAGAAGGCATGGCGGCGCTGTGACCGAACTGGAAGGTGGGCTGAAGAGGACTACACTCAGTGCCCATATGTCAGTGAACTAACCCGCGTGCTGCATAGGCTCACCCAGGTATGAAGACATGGAGCACTTCCTTGAGAACTACTGGATCCATTCCCAGAGTTTAAACTACATAATTTTTCTTTTCTCATTGTCAATAAATCAGATCTACTTTTGAAAGTTAACTATGATGTTGGACATGCCAACCCACCCAGGGAAGATTTAATAACTTCCTGTTCCTAGAATACAGAAACTAACATTTTGACTGATTCATCTGTAACCTGCAGGTACTTGCAGATCTGTACATGTATGCCTTTATATACTTAATACAAATTGATGGACAATAACCCGACTACATTACTCATGGGATTACTGTACACACATTGAAGTAGCCAAGGTCCCAAATCTACATTGGTGACATTATTTATTATTATTCTTATTTTTATGTTGTCAGAGCTGTTTCATGTGGTGAATTGTGATGATGGATTGTGTGATCATCCTCTTTGAATACTGCTCTGTATTTTCCTGTTTTGTGCTTCCTTTTTAGATAACTATTAATACCACCAATGCGCAGCCTTTAGGCCAGCAGTTAGTGGCCTTCACCAGCAGGGCGTCACACTTCACTGATGTCATGGATGTCATCTTTGTCACACATCTGGTGGAGAGACTGACAAAGCTGGTGGAGAAACGCAGAGATGTAAGAGTCAAGACACTGAAATACATCATATCCATTTTTCCATAATATCTGATCTAACACTTAATTAAAGACAAAAAACAGTTTCTTTTAACACAACAGTTTTCAAACTTTGATATTGTGAGCCCCCTCAGTTAGCACTGAGACAACTGCATCCCATGCTGAAAACAACTCAAGCCCTGCTTTTACGCCTATATTAGTTTACGATTTCAAAAGCCCTAATTGAGCAACATAAAGGCCACTTCACACACTGTTATTCTGGCTTCACTCCTTCAATCGATTCCAGACAGCTTAACTTTTCACCTGATAGGTTTTCCACTTTCCAGTGGCGGCTTTGGACCTGGATGACATTTAGGGTTTTGAAGATGCATCTCGTTTTGGGCAGGTCATGTTTTTACCCTGAGTGAACTTCTCTTCTGTCTGTGGCCAGAGGCAGTCAGAGAGCTTTATGTCACAGCGAAGGTCAGGGTCTGCAAGGGGAAGGGTGTTGAGCTTAGTCAGTGTAAAGAATCAATATTAGCTCCCATTTGCCCAATTACTGATCATACCTCACTCAGGAGGCAGTATTATTAGTTTAATTCCTAAGACAATGTGGAGACCACCCTCATTCATCCAGTAAAGAAAAGTCAAATGTAGCAATAATGAAAAGTACAGTAAATAAATAGCACACTGCCATTCCACTGGAACTGCTAATCTAAATTAAATCTCACTATAATGAATAAAGCCACTATTGGCCTGCCTCACAGTTATGACTGGAGATTATAAATGTGCCTGTTGTTGCAGATATGATTGACGTGCAGAATGAGTAGGCCTTTGTGTGCATGTGTGTAAGTGTGAATGCACATCCATTTGGAAACATGTCTACTCGTGTTTCCACAGTTGGGGGACTACATATCTGACATAGCCAGTAACATAATGCTAGTGGAGGAGCACATCCTGTGGATGGCTCAGAATGAGGCCAGGGCGTGCACTCGCATCGTCCAGTGTGTGGAGCATATTGCTGACCTGGCGCTGACTGGAGACAATCAGGTCATTTCTAAGGTATCAAACACTAACACCCATACTCAGTCAGGGCAAAGGTTCATTATCTGACTAAAAGCCCAGTAGTTCTACCTTTTTTGTGGCTTAGAGTAATGAGAAGTTAATTTGGCTCAAGCTGATAGCTAGACTAGGGTAAGAGAAAGATAAATTGCTTCCTCTCTTTGTTTCTTCTTGCTTCTGTTTTTTCCCTATCTGCTACCATATGGGATAAAATCATCTGCTAAATGAATAATATATTGTACACGTCCTGTCTTTTCTGCCACCCACCAACCTTCCACATTCTTTCCCTGACTTCTTGGCCTCCCTCCCACAGGTATCTGCTAACATAGCTCTGGAGGCTTTTCTGATCCGGCCATCAAACTTTCTCAGTCTGTCCTGCACAGCACTCCAATGGCCCCTCTCATCTGCCAACTCACCCCTCCCTGACAGCCAGTCCCATGCTGACAAGGACATGAGCAGGGAGCGTGATGTTGTGGGGGAGTCATTGCTCAACTTCAAATGCCACACCGTTAACAGCAGTGGCTCACCAATCAGTCAGCTCAGCAAGGTAAGGCACAAGATAATAAATGGTGTGAAACTCTCTAAAACATGCTTTTTCATTCTTTTGCTCACCTCTGTTGGCAAAATCCATCAAATCTAACCTGAGGCCAGGAAACAACATTCTTTCAGTGCTTCTCTTTCTTACTCAAAGCATGGTGCCTTTTTTCAAAATCTGGTTTAATGTTTTTTTTTTCACTCTGTTCAAGTATAGGAGTGAGAGAAGAGAATAAAAACAGAGGATATTCTATTAGAGAGGAAAGAAAGTAACTGAGGAAGAAATAAAATATGAGAAGTGAAGTACAGCGTGTACAGGAACTTGTGTGTACAATAAAATGAACTGACCAACACCAAGCATTTGAGAAGGATTTATCACCTGCCCTTTTTTTTTTTTTTGGTCCCAGCAAGTTGAGTCCTTGTTTGGCATTGTTGGTGCTCTATAGATCAGCTGGTGGTATATGTGGTTGTAGTGGGGCAAGGGCCTGCAAATAGGTTGGTGATTTTGGAGTCAGTGAACGTGCGCTAATCCCACTGTGATGGATAATGCGGCCTTGTGTTCTTGTTTTTTTAAATAAGCTGCAGCCCCACAACCATAGCTCCAGCTGTGGTCATTGCAAATTACAAATACCAAATCAA